TTTTTTTTTTTTTCTTTTTCTTTTTCGCAGGCTCCTTGTTCTGCGGCTTCGGAATCACCACTCAACGGTATCCGGAGAATTTCGGCAACCCCACCGGCACCAGATCTCTCACTCGACGGCGAATCGGGCTTGATCCCACGAGAAGTCCTCCACTTTGGCGGTCGAAGGTCCCTTTGAAGAGTTTCGCATGCACGCCGTGAGAGCGCGAGCCGGACCAACACAAAGGGACCCTGAATTCTCTCACGCCGCGTTGCTGGTCCCCTTTGTTCCATCGACTCGTTTGTTCTGGCTCGGTCGTCTTTGCCATTGCTGCGCAAAGTTTCCAGCGCAAGCGCTCGCTTCCGCTGTCGGAAGCGGTACTCCACCGAGACGGCAATCAGCAAGGGCAAGGCTTGGCTTTCTTCCACCAAGTAGCACTGCCGATCGTGCCACATACGTCAAGAGCCATCGAACTTCTCTTTTCCCACCCAATCGACCACATCTCTAGCCTGCGATGCCGGCAATCAGGGCCGCAGCCTGGCCATCACCACTCGACAATGTCTTCACCCAGACATCGGACGACCAGGTGGACACCGAGACCGCCATCAACGAGCTCTTCTCCCGCCTGCGCCCGTCACGCTTCGACTTTGCAAAGGATGCGTCTGCGCAGTCAGGCAAGGACGATGCCATGGTCAATCCATGGCTCTCGTCAGCAGAGCAAGAACAGCAGCGCGCACAGGCGTCTAGCGGGCTCGCGACCAAGCCGAGCCTTCTGCTGGAGAGGCAGGCCCACGTCGCCTTCCTGACAAAGCTGCTCGAGCCGCTTCCAGGCGCATACACGGCCTTTGACACTAACCGCTCCTGGCTGCTCTACTGGATCCTGCATTCGTTCGATCTGCTCTCCGTAGCTTTGGATCCCAAGGGCCGGGCACGTGCCATCGCCACGCTGCTCTCATTCCAGAACAAGTCGACAGGTGGATTCGGCGGCGGACCGGATCAGATCTCGCACCTCATGGCCACGTATGCGGCGGTTTCGGCGCTAGCCATCATCGGAGGCCCCGGTCCCGCGCCGACAGCAGAGGATGTCGCCGATGGCAAGTCGGTCGAGGTGGGTCGCGGAGGCTGGGATGCCATCGACCGACACAAGATGCGCAGCTGGATCGCAAGCCTAAAGCAACCCGATGGCAGCTTCCTCGTGCATGCCAACGGCGAGGTCGACGTGCGTGCTGGCTACTGCGTCGTCTGTATCACTACGCTCCTCGGCATCTCCAGCCCCGGCCTGTTTGAAGGCATGGCAGCATTCATCGCTAGCTGCCAGACATTCGAGGGTGGCATCGCTGCCGCGAGCCAGCCGACATACATGTTGAAGTCCGGGCTCGATGGCGCGACTCCAAGCGGTATTGCACTCGCATCCGTCGACGGTGCTCGTCCGGCGCTGGGAGAGGCACACGGAGGATACACATACTGCGCGGCAGCCAGCCACCTTGCGCTCTCGCTGCTCACATCTACTCTTGCTGCGGCGTCGGCGCCAGCAGGCCTCGCGACCGCGCCGGAGGCTGAAGCAGGCACACTGCAGCCGGCGGCCGCGCTGGACCAGGAGGCGCTGATTCGGTGGGCGACTGCACAGCAGGGCACGCCGTTCGAAGGCGGAGGATTCCGGGGACGCACCAACAAGCTCGTCGACGGCTGCTACGGCTGGTTTTCCGGCGGCGGCCTCTTCACCGTGCTTTCGGCCATGGTCGAAGCGAAGCTCATTGAAGAAGCGAGCAATGCGGGTGCATCTGATGGACACGCTTCGCGCACGCACGACTGGAACGGAATGCTCACCGTCCCGTCCGCGCCTGTCGTTCATGCCGCGCCCGCCGACGCGGCCAGTAGCGGAGCAGGGTCTTGGAAAACAGAGTCGAGCGTGGATGCCGAAGGAGCCGACGAGAGCGAGGACGACGTGGACGATCTCTCGCCACTCACGCTCTTCGACCGCGTGGCGCTGCAGGAGTACATTCTCGTGGCGGCTCAGCGTCCAGCCAAGGAGGGCGGCGGACTGCGCGATAAACCGGGCAAGCGGCCCGACGCCTACCACACCTGCTACAACCTCGCCGGCCTCAGTCTCGCACAGCATTCGGTCCGGCTCAGCCCCGAGACCGCCAAGGCGCTCCACAAGACGGTCGGTGCGGGTGTTGCGGATGAGTGGAATGCGAAGGTCTATGCGACCATGCTCGCATGGACACTTGTGCAGCGCGACGAAATCGTCGTCGGTCCAAACGTAAAGTCGGGCGAGGCGCCGCAGAACAAGCTCAACCCTACGCATCCGATCTTCAACATCACCTTCCCCAGAGCCAAGACCATGATGGACTGGGCCTATGCG